CCCCCCCCTCCCCCCCCCCTTCAACATACACCAACCCAGAAATCTTCATAACAATCCGTCTGCCCTTCGAGACATCTTCGAAAGAAAACTCAAACAGCAGTCCGGCACTGTCATCACCTTCCATAGGTGCAAGGCCCGATTGCCCTCGTCCCCCCTGCTCTCGTGGCCTAGCCCCTCCCCTGCAGCGAGGCTGTGGGCGGCGTTCCGTTCTCTAGCCGAAAGTCCGCTCGGGAATACAAGCTCCCTGTCCTCGCTCTGAGCGAACTCCCTTACTTGAGCCGCAATCTGGAGCGCGTTAACCACAAAGGAACCAACCAGCATGGGGACTTCAGAAGCATGGAACTTCGCCATCGCAAGCACTCGTAAACAAAGCAAAACAATACAAAGGGATAAATCAGCGTGTGTGTGCTCGAGAATCATCACCTCGGGGAAGGAAACTGCTTTCTTAATCTTCTGTTTAGCGATTGTCTTAACCTTGAGACGTTGCAGCACGAGCGGCCGAAGCAGCCAAGCACCAGATTTAGGCGTCAAGGTGACAACGGCACCGCCTACGGCAGTCAGACACTTGTTCGAATCCTTCCTTATACCTTCGGGAACTTGACTTGTGCGGGCATTTCGAGGTTGTTGCCGTCCGTGATGGTGATCATGCCCTGCCCGCCTCCCTTGGCGTCGCGCGTCACCACACCGCTCACGCCGGTGGCCAAAGGGACTTCCACCTTAAGCGTACCCTGTAGTGCCACAATTACCGGCAACAAAGAGGAGCAGATATTGAAAGAGCTGCGGAGGAAGGAGGCACCATACTTCGCTACTGCTGTTGTTCATGGCAGGCCAAACCAAACACACGGTGTCTTACGGATATCTGAAGCTGTCCATGTCGAGAGCGGCAACGGCTGCTCGAGGGGCAACAACGCCGCTCTGTTGAGCTATGCATGGCGTGGTGATCATATCCTGAAAATGTACCCCAGGCCCCCTTCCATCCCCCATGGAACTCACGCACGCGTTTGGAGCTCTAGATTCAAGAACCAAACTCGTTGGGGACACGAGAACATTTTCAGGAACCCATCCGCTGGTTAAGCCAGAAATGCTTGAGAACACCCTTTCGTCGACCGAACCGCGCTTCGCCACTTAATCAAGCAAGACACATGTTTTGCTGAGGGGCTGGCTGGCTAACTGGCTGGCTGGCTGGCTGGCTGCTTCTCTCTCTCGCTTACCTTGGGACAAACCTCCACTCGCGTAGCCCGCTTCTTATCCCCTCCCCTCTCCGACTCGTGCTGCGTGAAAATTACCTCCGACCCCTCCCTCAACTCCGGCAAGTTCCTGAGAGGACGAACGAGACGAGACAAGCGTCCGACGAAAAAAAAAGAGTCCGGCGGAGGTGTGAACCAGAGGCGGGGGGGGTTGTTGGGTGGGTGCGTGTGTCCCGTGATGGTCATGGTGAATAGATGCTGCAGGAAACACGCTGCTGTCGCTCCGCAAACATGCCTTGCCGTGGCTACAAATCTCCCAAGTATGTGCAACAGTTTGTGTCTGTGTCAATCGACAACCACGGGCACGACTTTTGCTTGCACCATTGCCGTGGCGCTATACCGATGAAGCCCGCACATAAAATAACCTCTGTAGTTTTGGCCTGGGTTCTCAGTTTCTAGTATTAGCCACCAAATGACGGCTACATAGGTTTTAGTGCTGGGGTTCTTGACAGGGCTCACGAATGGTGCTCAAGTTTTTCTGTCTTCATGAAATCTTGCGCATGAAGATCTTAATTGCCAACTTCCTCAATGCGGGCGCATACTGTGTCTCCGCCAGAAAAACTCACTTGCAAGTGTCGCTAATCCTGAAGTAGACATCTTCGGTACCACCGAGGGGTCGGATGAACCCGAAACCACCGTCCCGAAGGTTCTTCACCACGCCCTCCACACGATCACCACCAAAGCGCACGAGTGTCACGTTCTTCACCTGGGTCTGGGGAAAAACAACAGCAAACAAGGGGGATACTTTCCGTGAGACTCCCGTCGAACATATGCTCCATGCTCGACCAGAGCTCACGAACTTCATGCCGCCGGTTTCCCGTCACCCTTCAACGTAAAATTTTATCTCCTCGCCCCCCGCTAGACCATCTCAATCTCGTTGTGCACACTTTACAAATCCATCCACCGGCACAAGCGCATGACAATTATTCCCCTCATTCTGATCATCAAGACAAAAACGTGGTCAAGCGGCCCATGCTAAAGGCGGCCGACGCAAGCAACTAACGGTCATGTCGCGCGCCATTGGCCCGAGATTCTTCCCCATCTCACCGAGCCCCCCCCAAGCTTGGACTTCCATAAGTCGGCTTCGATGATGTCGCCCACCTCCAGAGTGGGTACCTGGCTCTTCCCAAGCTCTTTGTGGTTTAGGGACGCCACCAAAGAAATCGCCTTCGCAGCAGCTGCGCCTGTTTCCAAGCAAAAAAAAGAAAAGATCCCAAAAAACAAATGTCAGAATATGAAGAGCAGGCTGCTCTATGTGACAATCAAGGCCCTGGTGGCTGACGGGCTTCGTACTGCCATCAAGACAAAACAAACGACTGCTGGAACAACTGTTGCGATAAGGCAGGTGCAACTTCTGTGTAAGGTCGCAAACGGACAACACAGGTCCCTAGGTGTTTGGCGGCACCTGCTACAAGTGCTCAGTGTGGTCCGCCAACACGCGCGAGATGACAGGGTTCTCAAGTAATTCCTGTGCACTGCACACCACGAGTCCTACAGCCAGCACCAGCACCAGCACCAACACCAATGCCGCTGCCGAGTCAATTGTCCCATTTGACGTGGCAAACCCTACCCGACACAAAAGACGGCAATTCCACTCTTACCATATTGCCACCCTACCCCTGCAACAAACCCCGCGATAACGGCCGAACATTGCAATCGATACACAACAGCCCGCCGCCGCCCGCGGGATTCGTTTCGACTTCACGCCCCGGTACAACATTTTGGCAACCTCGCCTACCCCCGTTGCCGGGCGTTTGTTTCCTGTCTTCCCAACCAAAAGGTGACAAAACACTCACCGGGCCCCTCGCCCCCTTCCGGCAACGCCTCCTCTCCCTCCTCCGCGGTATCAGGGGCAGGGATGACGAATCGAGCGGACCCCGGCTGCATACCGCCAGCCCCTCCTCCGCCTGAAGACCAACAGCCGACGAACGCCGCCGTAAAGGCGACAAGTACGTCGCAACATACACGTTGTTGTTACAAGGGACGCACGCGCGTTTGTATGCAAAAGGCACGCAGAAAGCTAGTAACATGTGGCTCGTTTTCAACGCGTGTTCAAGAGAAACTGACCGCGCCTGCTGACGCAAGGTTAAGCACGAAAATCCGAAAAGATGGTTATTACACAGCAATCGCCGCCAGACGATCGTGAGTGACGGCTCATGAACCCGATTCAGCAGTGGTTCGTTTGTCTCTAGACGGCACACACCTTTCGGACCTACCACAAGCCAAATCAACACCCATCACACCCGATGCGGGCGAAGGACAAGCCGGACAATTGATGCCACTGAACAAACAGCGGACACACACGTTTTCTGCAATCGCAAATAACTGAGCAGCAGTCGCACGATCAAACGGAGCAGGCCAGCAACGACTTCAAGCACATGCGCACCCGGTAACGCACAGCAATGACTTCCTTTCCTACGGCAGCGTCGGTTGTCTTCCGACCGTCGAGTACACACCCCACCGGGCCAAGGTTAAACAGGCACGTCACCAACACGACAGAATGACTGCCAGACAAAACAAGCATGCATGCCTTTAGCCCGGACAGATTCGAAGCGCAGCAACCAAGAGCCAAGCCAAGAACGACAGCAGTCGAACCCGTAAACCTCCTCCCTGAAAAAAACACGCAAATTTCCTGGAAAGTCCAACCCTCCGAAACTCCCCAAACGGTAAGTGACAAAAAGACCCGGCAATTTCCAGGAAATTCCGACCCCCTAGACTCCACAACACGGCCAATTTACCTTCTCTGCCTCCGCCGAAACTCTGCCTGTGCGGAAAGGTGGGTGCTCTCTCCACGGTGCCCCTAACGCTCTTGTGCGTCTCCTCCTCCAGCGTAAGGGTTCCCGGAGGGAGGACCTTGATCTCCAGCGCTCGGAAGCTCTCCCGACGGTCTTTCGTGCGGTCCGGTACTACCCAAAACTCGGCCTGTGTCGTTTCGGCATGGCCATTCAACATGTAACCGATGCACAGGAGTCGGTGCAACAAGAAATGGGGCTACAGGTAAATAAATAAACATATGAACACGTTTCTTGATTTTTTTCGTGTTCGATTTGAAGCGGCCTTCATGCCTTCCAGCGAAAAAAAACGCTCCATAGGCAAGAAGGGTGGGAGAGGGAGACACACAGTTTTCGACATCCACGTACGACAACAACGCCAACACCAACAAGACGCAAGCCACGAACGACAGAACACACCGTGCGGTGTTGGCTTTACCTGCGATCCCACCCTCAGGCGTTCTCCCTCCCTGCTCTGTACGACGTGAGCCGTGTTGAAGTAGACAGTCTCGGGGCAAGAGAGCGACCGCAAGAACCCGTAGTCGTGGGTCAACTTCTTCACGACACCCTGCTGCTTCGTCGCCCCGCTTTCGATTAGCTGGAAACCAAACCAACGCCGAGGACAACAACGGCCAAGATAAGGAGGGAAAGGGCGGGCGATAGCATACTATCACCGTAGAGGACATATAGTCTGAGGCCCGAGGGCGGAGGACACGTATCTTCGCAAGGTGCTTCCACAACCAGCTATGGGCCGTCGATAACAGGATGGACTCTTGTTGATCTACGGCGGTCCAATGGATGAGAGGGGTGACACGTTGTCATACGATGTGACCCTTCCAACACCAAAACAGCACAAACCCGCAACACAGGGTTCAACAAAAACAAGAGGTGACCTAAACAAAGCAGCATCAATGCGACATGACGAAGAGAAGGAATCGACTGACCTTCTGCAGCTGCTCTCCTTCCCGCTTCTCCCTGTTTGTTCGCACCAGCACCAGCTCCACAGCCCGCTTCCTGCCGGTCACCTTCTCTTGGCTCACCTGCCACACAGCAGCCACACAGCAGTAAAGCACCAAGCAGCACACATGTGCGTCCCACACGTTAGAAGAGGCGTCTTGACAGCACCGTTAGCGCCGCGGACGCTACCATCAAAGAACGCGCACTCAACACAATTTTCAGACGCGATCGCCGATGTTTGAAGGCCTGTCAACGTGTTTTATAAGCTCCGTGGTGTCTTCGTGTCTTTCAAGACCGTGCCCCCCCCCTCACATGACGCGGGCTCAGCTGTGCAGAAGAGTACAATTTGAGCCCATTCCAACCACCTTTCAGTGACGCCTACATGCATCACGTGTCATGTGCAACAGTTGTCCCTGTTCTTGCACACACTTGTGTGATAAACAAAAATTGCCATCGCACACGTGTTGGAAAACAATCAACGTATACACGATACGCATATCGTACGTCGTTCCATAAGACAACAGCTACAGCAGGAAGCGATGGCAGCTAAAGACCGCGGGAAAATACGCCCCAACGTGGGACGGCATTGGTGCTTGACATGGCGGCTATTACAGCAACCAAAGTATGGCTAACGCGCATCGTTTATTTACCTTGAAGCGGACCTCGTCTCCACGTCTAAACCTGGAGCCGGCGTCTTCTTCCAAACTGTCCGTGACGAGGTAGGTGACCATCGCGCCCTGGAGCCCAAGCGGGGCCGCCCTGTCGCCTGAATCAGCCAAGGCGGCAAATTGTGGCAACGATGTCATCTTGCTATGTGGTAAAAAATTCCTGCCTCTCACGATCTCAACTAAGCAAGCGTTATGAGACAACTGTTCACAGTATCGTGATGATGACGTGTGTCCGTCATTACCGTCCTTGACGTCCGAGAGAAGCTACAACCCCACGTTGGAGGTCAACGAAGGGAAGGGCAAAACATGGAAGGGAGACAAACTGTACCAACAGCTCCGTCTGTCATGCCACACGACAACACCAAGAGCATACATGCTTACCTCAGGACCCAACATACGCTCCAAAACAACACGAAATTGCGATACCTTCTACTCTAATCAAGTGTTGGACGCAGCAAGCCTTGGCCATTGCGGCCAAGACCCAACAGACAGCGCCGCGCCGCGAACCGATGATTACCTTTGCCATCGCCAGCCGGAGCCGGCTGTGTCGATCGCACGGCGACAGCCTCTTCCGTTTCCGGAGTAGCGGCAGGAGCAGAGGTGCCGGCGGCATCGTCGACACCTGGGAACAAACAATGACCGGCGTTACGAAATCGCCCAGCAGCACCAGCAGCACCAGCACCAGCACCAGCACCAGCAGCAATCGCGATACTACAGTATCAACAAATCTACACTGTAGCATGGCAAATTTCAAATTCCATGGCGTGATCACAGCATGGCATAGTCGTCTCGACAGAGGTACTGCCATGATAACAATTGGACGTGCAGTGTGCGTGAAAAAACAATTTCATGTTCACAAATTTACCCCTCCCAATCCTGCCCCATTACCACTTTCTCCATCACCCTCGATAGAAATAATACACCCACCGCAACGTCAGCGACTAGAGTCACAAACGTCAACGTTATCACAAACACACACAAAAAAAAGCTCCACACGTACACCTCCCCCCTCCACCAGACCCAACAAACGAAGGCAACAAATCTGACCACACTTCTCCCGTCTGACCCACCTGCGACGGCGGCTTCCGTTTCAAAGGATGTGTCGGTACCGTCCCCTCCCTCCGTTGCGTCGGCCGGCTGTACCTCCCGTTCCGGGGGCGCCGTGGTATCACTTGCGGCCGGTGGATCCTCGGGGGGGGCTGCGCCCGTGATCTACAAGGAGAGGGGGCATCGTGAGGGAAACGACAAGACATTGCCGGTTATATTTTAGCATATCGTTATCACCGCTGTCGCGCTGCTACACCCTTGTATCCCAGTCTTTGGCCCTCTTCACACATGGAAGCCTCGCTCGGTGCAGATTTCGCCACTTGTGTTGGGAGTAAACTGGGGCAACATGCGGAGACCGCATGCACCTTTTTCGTGGAACCGTTCACTTGTCACACTTCCCAGCCTTGGAAAACATCGGACCAGCGGTATGTAAAAGCGTAGGCCTGGTCGTTTCAGACCGGTCCCAGAGAAACTCATAACACCTTATGCAAGGGGTTGATTTCTGTCATTCTGATACTCGGTTTCTCCGATACATGGGAGTCGGAGCGCACCTGAATTGAAGCAAGTTTTTGCCTAGGCAGGCCACGGGAGCTTAGTGCCGCTGAGGGCTAACACTCGTTTCTGAGGTAATCTACCCCTCACCTTGATGAGACCCTCAGATTGCTGGGACTCCTGCGGTCTGGATCTCCCCATCATATTTGCTCGGTGTGTGCTCGGCATGGATGAAGGGTGAGAGCGAATGTCCCTCTCGATCACTCCCAGAAATGAGGCTGGAAGTAGAAACACGTGAGGAAATATATAAAAAACAATGACATAGCAGACAGGAAATAAAAAAAGAGGGCGCGGACGCCTTCCGTATGTCGATGCTGTGCTCGACGTCCACCGAGGACGCAATTTGAACGCTCCCCGGGAAGTGGGGGGTACTCATAGTCGTGCATGCCGTAGTCGTTAGACCATTGACCTCGCATCCCTACAAAGCCGGGGCACGCCGGGTACTCACCGGACCAGGCTCTCACATCACCAAGCGCAAAACGCCGTGAGGTAAGATATTCGGCGAGTCGCATGAAGGGTGCGCTGCATCCTGCTAA